GGACACCCTTTTAACTCAGTACTGAAATCACTCCTGAGGTTCACCCTTCACCCAAAGATTAGACGAGTCTATAGGGCCAACAATAACACAAGTGAGGGACATGCTTCATAGTTCAATCATGTATATGGAATAATGGGCACACCAGCCCAAAAGCAAAGAGGAGGAGGCAAGAAGGGACAGGAAAACCGGACAGATGGAAACAAGAACCCGGGGTGGAGAAGGGGAGACTGTTGACACATTGAGGGGTTGGCAACCAATGTCACAAAACAGTTTGTGTATTAACTGTTTATGAGAAACTAATTTGCTCTGTAAACTTTCATCTAAATCACACACACACACACACACACACACACACACACACACATACAAAAGAATCCATAGTACTGAGGAAGAAGTCCAAGCTGCACTGAAGACACTGGCAAAAAACAAGGCTCCAGGAATTGACGGAATGCCAATTGAGATGTTTCAGCAAACAGATACAGTGCTGGAGGTGCTCACTCGTCTATGCCAAGAAATTTGGAAGACAGCTATCTAGCCAACCAATTGGAAGAGATCCATATTTATGCCTATTCCCAAGAAAGATGATCCAACCAAATGTGTAAATTATTGAACAATATCATTAATATCACACACAAGTAAAATTTGCTAAAGATCATTCAAAAAGTGTTGCAACAGCGCACTGACAGGGAATTACTAGAAATTCAAGCTGGATTTGGAAGATGACATGGAACAAAGGATATCATTGCTGATGTCAGATGGATCTTGGCTGAAAGCAGAGAATACCAGGAAGTTGTTTACCTGGGTTTTATTGACTACGCAAAGACATTCTACTGTGTGGATCATAACAAATTACGGATAACAGTGGGAAGAATAGGAATTCCAGAACATTCAATTGTGCTCATGTGGAACCTGTACATGTATTCTTAACTCACCTGGGGATCTTGTTAAAATGTAGATTCTGATTCAGTATATCTGGGGTGGAAATGCAAATTCTAAGCAGGGGGTCAGGCTGGAAAGAACCGGTTTGAAGCCCTGGGTGAAACTGAATAAAGTGCACCCATCCATGACCTCCACGGGGTACTCCAGGTTGGCCACCATGTTGGAGACACAGCACAGCATTTAGAGCATCACTCAGGGGTATGACTGCTGGGTTTGAGACTCAGCTTGGCCATCATAGCAAGTTATGCGACCATTCTGTGCCTCATTTTCTTTATCTACACAATGGGTGTAACAATAGATCCACCTCCCAGGCTGCTGCTGGGGCCAGATGAGTTATATGCAGAGTGCTTGGGAGAGCAGTTGGCACCTGGTGACACTCCACAAGTGGCATCCCTACCACCATCACCACTTCCAACATCACTACCACCACCATCACTACAACCACCACTACCACCCCCATCACCACCACCACCACCACCATCACCAGCACCACCAGCACCACCCCCACCTCCATCATCACCACTACTATCACCACCACCACCACAATCACTACCACCACCTCCAACATCACCACCACCACCTCCATCACCACCACCACCATCACCATCATCACCACCACCACTTCCACCATCACCACCACTTCCACCATCACCACCACATCCACCATCACCACCTCCACCATCACCACCTCCACCATCACCACCACCACATCCATCACCACCTCCACCACCACCACCTCCACCACCATCATCTCCGTGATGACGATGATGACCACCACCACTTCCACCACCTCCACCATCCCCATCATCACAACCACCACTTCCACCATCACCACCTCCACCTCCACCACCACCATCACCACCATCGCTACCACCATCACCATCACCTCTACCACACCGCCTCCACCTCCACCACCATACCAGCTCCACCATCATCACCTCTACCACTACTACTACCATCGCCATCACAGCCATCGCTATGTTCACCATCACCACAATCCACAATCCCTACAAAAGAAGAGAGGCCAGCCCAAGATTGTTCTCTTGTTGGCTGCTTATTGGAATTTGTTCTTCAATGTGTGACATTACAAATGTTTGCCAAGTATTGTGTCACCATTGTCTATTGTTGGATACTTATTCATCTCCTGATTATGCACCCAATCTTGAGGAGATCTGCCTGCTGAAATGATGTCTCTCTTTCCTAAAAGTGTTTCTGACAAGCACTTGGAGTAAGCGGTCCCGAGGCAGTCGGCTTTGCTCTGAAGTCCCTTTCTCTCCACTGTACTCTCCCTGTACACTCATTTCATTGACATCTGCTCTTCAGATGACTTTGTTTATGCCTCAGCCATACTCACTGCATTAGTAAAGAGTCGATCAGCTGGGTGTTTTGCCTGGATTCAATACCTGCCTTGCCGTTTGCTCCTGGTACACCCGAAACCCATTGCTTGGCTCACAGGAACTGCATGGTGCTGGTCGGGTAGTGGCTCCCAGGACTGCTGGTGGACAGACACGAGGTTATGGTGTAGCACCCAAAATAGCACATTCTGTAACTTGTTACCCTGTGGTTTCATGTGCAGGTCTGAATCTAGAAAAATAAGTTGTTTGTTCTACCTTTTACATACTCAAAATTACTTTTTGTTCTAATCACTCTATCCTGAGTTGCCCCATAAATTCTTCAGACACTCCACGAGCTGTCTTCTTTAGCCATCATTTGATGGTCTTCCCCACATAATTTTGGTGTAGGTGACAGATGGAGACGTGTACAGGGCAGCTTTGAGTCCAGGTCTGAACTTGATAATTAGACCTTTACTTTCTTTGAGCTTGATTATTCTCCCCCAAGCCTTAGAAGTAAAATGGTTTTGCTTTATATTATAAGGAAATTGTTTCCAAATGTCATTAAATCAGGCATTGCCTCTAGTTTATGCAAAATATTTCATGAAAATATTAGAACAGCTCTGTGCTATTGTGAGCTTCTTATGCAAAATGCTCACAAACAGTCAGGAAGCAATTATTTCCTATCACAACCTGAGTACATTTGTTTCAGCACCGTCGCATTCAATCCTCTTTGTGATGAATAAATGGGTGTTTAGATGTAGATTTCAGTTGCTCTTGACCTTTACTGCTTCAGGGAGTTGTCCCTTCTCTCAAAGGTCAGCAGTTCAGGGACGCTGTCCCGGTGTGACCCAGCCTGGACTGTTACAGCTTGTTGATCAGAGCAGTCAAGAATCCCATGGGCAAGGTTAATGATATATACACAGTTTTGCCCAGAAAGGTAAAAGCGACAACTGCTGGAATGAGCAGCTTGTTAATACTGGGAGTGTTTTTATTCTTAACCCCGTAAGTAATGGTTTAAAGTTAAAATAAAGAGCGCCTTTACTTGAGTAAAGCAGTGTTTATTTTTGTAGTATTTGAACAGTTGTTATGTTATTCTCTCCCCCTTTCTTGCATTTCTCTCAGCATTTGTTTCTCTTGACATCAGAACAATCAGAATTTAGGAGATCAAGAGAGACTAAGGGTGGTTAGACGTGCCACACTAGTTATTAAGGTACAGAGCTTTGTTTCCTCAACCTAAAACAAATTCACATTTCATCCTTAATCAGTGTTTTAGTTATCTAGTGCTGCTATAACAGAAATACCACAAATGGATGGCTTTAACAAACAGAAATTTATTCTCTCACAGGTTAGGAGGCTAGAAGTCTAAATTCAGTGCCCCAGCTCCAAGGGAAGTCTTTCTCTTTCTCTCTCTCTTGGTTCTGGAGGGAGGTTCTTGTCATCAATCTTTCCCTGGTCTAGGAGCTTCTCAGTGCAGGGACCCTGGGTCCAAAGGATGCACTCCACTCCTGGCTCTTCATGCTTGGTGGCACGAGGTCCCCATGTTGCTCTGCTCAATCCTTTCTTTTATATCTCAAAAGAGACTAACTCAAGATACAACCTAATCCTGTAGATTGAGTCTTGCCTCATTAACGTAACTGCTTCTAATCCTGCCTCATTAACATCACAGAGGTTAGGATTTACAACACATAGGGAAATCACATCAGATCACAAAATGGTGGACAAGCACACGATACTGGGAATCACGGCCTAGCCAAGTTGACACACATTTTGGGGGGACACAATTAGTCCATAACAATCGGAAACATCTTTTCTGACTTTATTGTGCCCTCCTCCAAGTTCGCTTGTCTCCTGTTACGGTTAAACCACAGCCCACACTTGGATGCTAATCCCACATGTCGCTCTCATTGATGGACGAAGGCCTGTGAGATGATGGTCAGGGCATCTAGGAGACCACTGGGCTGGCCAGAGAGGGCATTGGTGGGATTCACCTTCTGGGAGTTCTTCAGAGATTAGAGAGAATAATGTTCGAGTCACAATGCCAGTTTATTAATTTACTGTGGGAATTATACCCACCTAGTGCTCACAGATTAGTACAATCTTTTCCTTTAATCAGAACCACAGGGGGAAATACCATCTATGATAGGATTTAAAAAACATCAAACTCCCATGAATAAATCTACCAAATTTTCTCTATTACCAATATCTCCTCACAAAAAATATAAAACATTATTTAAAGAAATTAAAGGTCTAGATAAATGGAGGGATAGACCAAATTTATGAATTAGAAGACTCAATATTATACAGATGTCAGTTTTCTCCAAATTGATTTCTAAAGCTAATGCAATTACAATAAAAACTGAACAACTTTTCTTTGGGTGGAAATTTAGCAAGCTGATCCTGAAATTTACATGGAAATGCAAAGGCCTGAGAATAGCTGGACAATGTGAAAGCTGGACAATGAATAAGAAAGACCGAAGAATTGATTCCTTTGAATTATGGTGTTGGTGAAGAATACTGAATATACCATGGACTTCCAGAAGAACAAACAAATCTGTCTTGTAAGAAGTACAGCCAGAATGCTCCTTAGAAGCGGGGATGGCGAGACTTTGTCTCACATACTTGGAACATATTATCAAGATGGACCAGTCCCTGGAGAAGGACATCATGCTTGATAAAGTAGAGGATCAGTGAAAAAAAGGAAGACCGTTGATTAGATGGGTTCACACAGTGGCTGCAACAGTGGGCTCAAGCATAAAAATGATTGTGAGGATGGCGCAGGACCAGGCAGTGTTTTGTTCTGTTGTATATAGGGTCGCTATGAGTTGGAACCAACTCGACTGCACCTAACAACAACAAGAGTAGCCAAGAACAATCTAGGAAAAAAAAAGAAGGGAGAGGGGAAGAGGAGAGAAAGAGGAGGAGGAAGAGGGTGGAGGCGATGATGATGACTGGGGGCTCAACACCAGAGATCAAGACTCACTATAAAACTAGGTTAGTTAAGACAGTGTGTTATCAGTGCAAGAATATACAAAGAGACCCAGAAAACAGGATCCAGAGTCCACATGCTGACCGTGTACATGGGGACACAGGATTTATAATAAAGGTGGCACTGCAGGGCAGTGGGGAAAGGATGGTCTTATCAATAAATGGTGCCAGGTCAACTGGATCCATATGGGAAAAAAAAGGAATCCTGACTCCTACACACCATTACATACAAAGTATCAGATGGACTGTAGAAGCCTCTAGAAGGTAACAAGGATAGTTAGGAGGTCTGTGGGGAAAGATTTCTAACACAGGACAAAGAACCCTCTCCATGAGGAAGGGATGGATGAATCAGACTACATTAGAGTCCATTAAGAGCATGGAAACCCAAGCCATAAAGTGGGAGAAGATGAAGTGGGTATTGTTAAATGACAGATTCTGGAGTTGAATTATAAAAATTTTGATGAAGATTTGATGTGGGAGTAAACAGAATTGCTGCAGCAAGGAAGCCTGGCACTCAAGAGGAGATGCCAAGGACTTCAATCTGAGAAAGACGGTGGTCTCCTTTTAGAAGAGGCTTTGAGGAAATTGTTAGCTGCTGTCTAGTCGATTCCGACTCGTGGCGACCCCACGTGTGCAGACTATAACTGTTCCAGAGGGTTTTCAAGGCTGTGACCTTTCAGAAGCAGATCACCAGGCCTATCTTCCAGGGTGCTTCTGGGTGAACTCAAACCTCCGAGAGGATGGTCACCTGCCCAAGGCCCTGCCAGGTGGACGGGGGTGGGACGAGGTGCTGAGGGCAAGGGGTCAGCAGCATGTCCTGCCCTTCTCTGGCTCTGTCAAGAGCCTTCCAGGAGGGAGTGTTTTGTCTTCATGGCTGTGACTTGCTTTTGACTGGTAGACGTGGGAATTCTCGCAGGTATCAACCTTGGGATACAGCGTGCACATTCATTAGGTCGAGGCTGAAATGACCGTGTTGCCGTGTTTCAGACGGACGTGATGCACCAGAACGTGTACGATTACATCCACGTGGACGACCGCCAGGACTTCTGCCGACAGCTGCACTGGGCCATGGACCCACCCTCGGCAGCACTAGGGCAGCCCACACTCCCAGAGACAGGTGGGTCCAGGTGTGTCGTGGGGTGACGGGCTGGAGGGCACGTGGAAACCTGGAACACCGCAGGCAAGTGTGCCTGCTCCACGCGCTTCCCAGTCTTTGCCTTACACCATGCCTTCAGCACCCTGCCACCTTCTTCAGAGACCGCTGCCCTTTGCCGCTGAGACCGCCTCCCCGCGCGCCTCCCGCCTTCTGTGGTCCCACAGCCTGCTCTGGTTCTGGGAGCATTTGTATTGCTGGTTACTTTTCTGTGCTGAGAGACAGCCCCCCACCACCTCCTGAGAAGCTGCAGGGCTTGTCCCTTGTTTTGCAAACTCTCCGCCAAAATGCGCATCTTCTGGAAATTTCTCTGGTCCACATTGGATTTATCTAAAAAGAGCCCCTGAGAGATTACTGCCTGTTGAGGGATGGTTGCCCCTTTGTGCACGGACCCCTTGCAAACCAGGCTTACTCACCAGCCTGTGCCCCTTTGTGCGAGGACCCCCTGCAAACCCAGGCTCACCCACCCAGCCCGTGCCCCTTTGTGCACGGACCCACTGCAAACCCAGGCTCACCCACCCAGCCCGTGCCCCTTTGTGCACGGACCCACTGCAAACCCAGGCTCACCCACCCAGCCCGTGCCCCATTGTGCAAGGACCCCCTGTAAACCCAGACTCACCCACCCAGCCTGTGCCCCTTTGTGTGAGGACCCCCTGCAAACCAGGTTCACCCCACAGCCCGTGCCCTGCCTGGTAGAGAGGCGGCTCTGTGCCCAGGCCAGCTCGGCAGGCCTCCTTCTCCTCGACTGACCTCAGACGAAAACGAGCGTCTTCACCTTGCAAGGGGACAGGCAGGTTGGGGTCCCTGAGGCCTCAGGGATGCTCTGCTGGGTAAGTCCAGTGCACAGAGCGGCTCCCTGGCCCTTTGACACATTTCCAGAGAATTTCAGACAATTCTAGAAGTGTCCACCATAACTCATACATACAGCTGCACAGTTTACCTTAGAAACGTAGAGTCGAATGAAAAAAGTCAACTGCAGCGACCACACACGACACCAAACGCACACATAGGTCGTGGAAACGACCGCCTTGAGGCAAGGCGTATGGACACAAAGCTTGTTGGCCCGGTGCCTCCGCGGGGCCGCGGGTGGGCGTTGAGGGAAGAGACGTGCTCGCCTCTCGCTGTCACACGTGCGCCCCGTGTTTATCGGGCGTTTTTTGTGTGCTTTCTTCCTCGGCCGCCCTCCGGGCCTCGCCTGTGCTGCAGGGGCAGGAGACGACGCCGTACTGCGGAGGCTGCTCCAGGCCCAGGACCCGGGTGCCGGCCCGCCTTCCGAGTTCGCCGCCTTTCTGACGCGCTGCTTCGTGTGCCGCGTGCGCTGCCTGCTGGACAGCACTTCGGGCTTCCTGGTGAGTCAGGGTCTCGGGTCACCAGTCACTGGGAATACATCTGCCCTGCCATAGAGGAAGGGGGGGACAGGGGCTGGGACGTGTGCTCTGCCGCTGGGTCCACTTGCTGCGCCGAGGGGCCGCTGACCCACTGCGCCACCGGTGGCTCCGGTAACGTGCGCAACGTGCGCCAGGTGCCGCCGTCGGCGCTCCCGGTGGTGGAGGGGCGTGAGGAGCTCACTGACAGAAGTCTCCACACACACTGTCTCCTGGGGCTGCCTCAGCAAAGTACACAAGTCGGTGCTTTGAAGAACAGAAATTCATGGCCTCAGTTCTGGAGGCTGGGAGTCCGGGATCAGGGTGTCGGCTGTGGGGATTTCTCCCGAGGAACTGCTCCAGGCCTCTCGCCCAGCCTTTGGTGGCTCCAGGCCATCCTTGTTTTCCTTTGCTGCCTGTAGATGCATTCTCTCGGGGGTCTGTCTTCCCCGTGTCTCTGTGGCTGCCCCCTCTTTTATAAGGACACTACTCACACTGGGTCAGGACGCACTCCGTTCTGGTACGTCCCTGTCAACTGGCCATCTTCTAAGAAAGACCCTTCTTCCCAGCAAGGTCGCGTCCACCGGCACAGCATTAGGACTTCAGCACATCTTTCGGGGATTCAGTTCAGTCCCTAACACAGGTGCCCTGATAGTGCAGAGCCCGGATATAGGAGGCCCGGGGGCGACGTGTGAGTGAGTAAGAGGACAGACTTCGATCTGCTGCAGACAGATAGGTTGAGCCTGATCAGTTGCCTGCAAATATATTTTAAAATATTGAAAAATCTGAGGTAGGTTTTTATGCAATGTGACACTCAGCTTCCATTGTGACTTTATTTAAAGTTAATTTTACGAGGTTCCGTTCCAAGTATACCACACGTCCTGTGGAGCACAGGGCTATCATTAGTGCACCCTGCCAAGGACTGAAGAGGCAGAAAGCACTGCCACCACAGCATGGCCAACCCAGACCCCGGCTTCCAGCCTTTCACTCCTCTCTTGCCAACAGACCCCTGGGGTTCCCACTCCTCATAGTTCACCATTTCTTCACTGGGCCGGGCAGCACATTTTACACCATTTGGCATCTCCAAAAAAACCCAACCCCATTGCTGTCAAGTTGATTCTGACTCATAGTGACCCTAAAGGACAGAGTAGAACTGCCCCATAGGGCTTCCAAGGAGTGGCTGGTGCATTCGAACTGCCGACCTTTTGGTTAGCAGCCAAACTTTTAACCACTGAGCCACCAGCGCTCCGTCTGGCATCTAAGCAGGAGGAAAAGGCCAGGAACAAGGCTGAGCTTTTTTCACCAGCTGGATGGCGAGCCTTAGAACCCTTGGTGCTTCCTGAGGGCGGGAGTTGAAGCAGCTGGTCAGAGGGAAGGCATGAAATGCTCAGTGCCCTGCGAGCACGCTTTTCCCACACTGTGTGGGGCACCGTGTGACCTTTGTGGCAGGGGAGCAGCAAGTGGGATCTCAGGAACGAGGCAGCAGGGGCGTGGTCGGGAGAGCTGGCGAGAGCACGGCTGGCCAGCCAGCAGGAGCAGAAAGGCTGCCAGGCCTGCGCTGGGCTTTACGAAGAAACGCCCTCCGTGTCCCATGTCCATCCTAGATCCTCTGCTGCCACAGACGCAGGTGATTCCTCAGGTGTAATTTAGGCACTTGATTAACACATACAATTTAGGGTAAAATAGTATCAAAATAAAAGATGTTATTGGCTTTCATTTTTACAGTATTTTGTACTAATTTTTGTGTGAATTAAGGTAGTTACTATTCATTGGCTAATAAAGAATGTTTTTACTTATTTTTTAAAAATTGGGTAATCTGTTCCAGGTTAACTGAAAACTCTTATTTCCAGATGACACAGATCGGGAGGAATTTACTGGACAATCGAGCAGTGACTGAAATATAGATAAAAATGAAACTGCAAAATAAAGGACTGAATAAAGGGAATGAGCAAGAGAAATTAGTTTGAAGCTAAAATGTTGCAATAAAACATACACAGCCAGTGTCGGGTTATTTTTCCATGAAACCCGGTCACTCCACAGCACTGCACTCCCAGAATGCACTGTGACAAGGTGCCAGGAGTTGGAACACGGTGGCCCTGGGTGGCCTCACAGCCCCTTCCCAGCTTGACACCCTGTGGCTGTGAGAAATGCTGCTTCCACATCTGGGCAAGGTGCTGACCCACAGAGCCAGCTTGTGCTGCCCAAGAGAGCAGGTTGTTACGTTTGCAGAAGTTCTGCAGTGCTGTTGACGTCACCCTGGTAGCTTGAAATCAGCCGTGGTGGAGTGCTTACACCACAGACATTGGAACCTGGAGAGCTGGATGTTGAACACTCACGAGCACACCACTGCCTTGAGTCCTCCCACCGAGCACGTGTCTGGCAGACAGTGGGTGCTCTGCAAGTGTCTGTTCAGTGAACAAATCCACAGACAGATGGAAGGGTGAACGGATGGATGGATGGATGAGTAGACAGACAAATGGATGGATGGATGGAAGGAAGAAAGGGAGGAAGGAAGGAAGGAAGGAAGGAAGGAAGACAGAAGGTGAATGTATGTATGGATGGATGGGTGGGTAGGTGAATGGAAGGAAGGGAGGGAGGGAGGGTGAAGGGATAGATAACAGAAGAATGGATGGAAGGAAGAAAGGACGGACAGAAGGATGAATGTATGGATGGATGGATGGGTGGGTGGGTATGTGAATGGAAGGAAGGGAGGGAGGGAGAAGGGATAGATAATAGAGGGAAGAATGGAAGGCAAGATGGAAAGACAGAAGGATGAGTGGATGGACGGATGGATGGATGGATGGACAGAAGGCCAGGAAGAGTGGGGCCATGCTGCAGGATCATTCTTCCATCAAGGGCCAAACACCCTGCAGGCACTTGGTGACTAACCCAATTGTAGGTCAGCCTTCCCATTACAGAGAAACCTTTTATTTTCTCTTATAACAAGCTCCTAAATAATCTGCTGGCTTTTTAGCTCACATGACACACTAGATAAATGAAATCCTGTTGTTCCTAAGTTTCATCACTAGGAGTGTAGGATAATAATTTGGACGTGGAGTGAATGCTGACATAGCCCTCAGAGACAGTCTGCTTTGGCAGCTTCCTGCCAGGGATCTGGCTGATGGCTCCGTGGTGGGCTGGCCACAGCCGGGTAGATGCAGTCTCATGCACGCCTGCATGTGGGCCGGCAGCACACGCACACACCGTGCATGCACACACGGGAACACACTTGTCAACTAAAGGACGTTAAGGAGACTCCAGAGTAACCGTGAGCTACTCGAAGGCCCTGGGATGGCCCTGCTTGTAGAACCTTACTAAGTATTACCAGTGCCCTAAGTGTTCGCTCATCCGCAGAGTGATCAGGGTAGGTGTCCTCTCCATGGCTATGTTCCCGGATAATGCCAGTCACTGTCAGGCATCTGGCCACCGTGCCCTTTGACCATGTTGCTAACTTGCTTCTTCGTCTCTGTCTTTGCAACATCAGACAATGCAGTTTCAAGGAAAACTGAAGTTCCTGTTTGGGCAGAAGAAGAAGGCACCGTCGGGGACAGTCCTGCCACCCCGGCTCTCGCTGTTCTGCGTGGCAGTGCCAGTTCTTCTGCCCTCTGTGGCAGAGATGAGGATGAAGACTGCTCTTCTGCGGGCCAAGCCCAGGGCGGACGCTGGGGCCACGACGGACACCAAGTAAGAGCCGCCTGTGGGCATCGCCGTGCACGCTGCTGCTCACTGCCACTTAGGTTTTCAAACTGCTGCTAGAAGATGCCTCCACACCTCAGCATTCCCTGTATGTTCCGTCTTCACTTTCAACACAGATAAAACGAGAGGCTCGGTGTTTTTAAAGCTAGTGAATCATGTGGGCAACAGTTGTTAGTAAAAAGTAATACTTTTCAAACTGGTATTTTCAAAACGTGGCGCCAGATGCTGCCTGTATGGCTTCAGCCCTGAATCTTCCACCACGGCCTGGCCTCAGGGAAGTGCCTGGAGCTGCTCGCCGTGGGGGTGGGTGTTGGAACTGGCCTTCTGCCTCTGCTTCTGTCTTCAGTCCCTCCTTTCACACAGGGAGAAGCAAACCCATTCCACTGCTGGGAGAAATGGCCAAGACAGAAGATCCACACTGCCCCTTCTGCCAACTCTGTCCGGCCTGAACTACCCCAGAGCTTTCTAGCTTCCTGGCGGTAGAAAAACCCTGTACTAAGTTTCCCAGGCAGTGTCCTTCTGCGATTTCTGGGTGGGTCAGGCCTGTGTTGTGTGGGCTGGTGTCGCTCAGAGGCACTTGTGTAAATCCTCTCTGATGGGGAAGCACCTGTGAAAGGGCAGGCAGCTGGGGACGTCTGAGGTGTGACTTCCATCTTCCCCAGCCGGTCTGTGAGGCCCTTCCTGCACCTGTCACAGGTGCCGTTTGTTCCTGGCCCCCCTTTTGCCCTGGATGGCTGCTCCCCCAGCAGGCCTAGCTCCCTGGGACTTTGAGAGGGGCTACGGCAGCCGTGACCTGACCTCAGCTTGGAAGGAATAACTCAGGAGTGGGTGCGGGACGTGAGTGCTGAGCACCTTGCTTCTCACCCACCGCCCACCCCTGGCATCGCGATTGTGCACACCTCTCGGGCCCTCCGGGTTCCTCACGTGTGCCTCTGACGCCTGCATTGCTGCACGGCCGTGGACCCACAGGCCTGGCCTCCTCCTGGGAGCCCTGTCCCCACTCGCCCCACTCGCCCCCCCTGCTTGGTGAGCTTGAACTGTCTAGGATGCGGGTGCATAGCTCCCCGCTTCTCGCCTTGACCAGTGGGCTTCCCCACTTCATGTTATTGTTAGTTGCCATGGGGTCAATTCTGACTCACGGTGACCCCGTGTGCAGAGTAGACCCCACGTTGTGTAGGATTTTTGTGGCTGTGACCTTTCGGAGGAAGATCTCCAGGCCTGTCTTCTGAGTCATCTCTGGGTGGGTTGGAAAAGGCAATCTTTTGGCCAGAAGTGGAGTGCTTAACCGTTTGTGCCTCCCAGGGACCCCTCCACTTAATGGGATAATTAAATACCGAGTTGGAAGGAAATCTTAGCAGACGTGTGGTTTGGCTTGCTAACTCAGGTGTGTATCTTTTGCACAACGCCCAGAAAGAGCAGTTTGACGAGGCCGCACACACTGGTGGAGAAACGGGGAACTCACCACCTCGCGCAGTTAACATTCCACGTCCAGACAAAACTTTGCCAGAAAATTCTTCTCTGTGTTGACCTGAAATCTTACGCCATGTAATTTCTGTCCTTTCCCTAGCTATACGGTCTCAGCTCTGTTTGCCTTACTCCCAGGCTGTGGTTCCCAGATTCTCCCCAATCCAGGTTGCATTTCCTCTGATGTGTACAGTTAGTGATCAGCTCCTTCAAAAGACAGTGCCCAGGGAGGTTCACAGCAGACCGAGCAGCGCAGAGTCAGCAGAGACGGTCGCCTCTCGTTCCGAGCGTACTACCTGTGTTAATGCCACGTATGATGACAGGCTTGTCCTCCTGTTGTCTTAAATTGCAGGCTCTGTTGCTGTTTAGCTATGTCTCGTCTGTGCTGTGCTTCTGAATCTATCTGCGTTACTTAACTTCCAGTTTTTTAAATTCCAGCCTTGTCAGGTTCTAGCCTTCCAGACAGTTCGATCTGGGATTGCACACCATCCGGCACGTTCGCTCATTTGATTTATTTCCACTGGGGTTACATTTTAAGTTGTGTGTATGTGTTTGGACATCTTCAGTTTGGTAAGCGTGTGTTATCTCTGTTCTCAGCATGTCACCCACAGACAGGTCACATCCAACAGTACCCACCTCTCAGCCACAAGCTGTCTGTAGATCCCAAAGATGCTGTGGGGACCCTTGTTAAGCACCCGCTGACGTCGAAGGAGGAACACGGGGCCACTCTGTGACTCAGCCTTGGGGGACTCCTGCTCACCCCGTCCAGGGCTGACCCCATCTGACCATCATGGGCGGTGCCAGCTGGGTGGGCACTAGGTGCACATCCCCCAGGCCCCACCTCACCACTGCCTTTTCAGTCCTTGGCCAGTCCCCCCCTTCTGTGAGTGTGACTCTTCATCCCTTCTCAATGTCCATAATTCACATTTACCTCTCTAAAATTACCACTTAGACCAACAGCTGCAGCTGTGGGAAGGCTGCCTGTGCTGTGCGTTGGTTTCTTGCAGGCCTTACTTTCTGCTCATTGTGGCGGGGCAGGGCCTCTGCGGCTGTCTGCAGTCGGTGCGCGGCCAGCTTCCAGGGACGAGTTCCCACCTTTCTGCTGCAGGTCCCATCCTGTGCACAGATGGAGGGAGGCTTCCAGGGCTGAGCCTGCAGTAAACACACAAAATGTCATAAAATATGAGGGAGGAAAACAGAAATACCCTAAGAAGAAAACTAACAACCATTGAGCTAGAACATGGAGGTGTGCACAGCCTAGGGGTTACTGTGCGTGGAGCTGCACCTGCATGTACAGAGGTAATCTGTTGTTAGGTGCCGCCCAGTCGTTCTGGACTCAGCAACCCCATGTGACAGAGTAGAGCTGCCCCTTACGGTCTTCTTGGCTGTAATCTTTGTGGAAGCAGATCACCAGGTCTTTCTCCTGCTGAGCCGCTAGGTGGGTTCAAACCACCACTAGGGCTCCTTAGAGGTAATCTTAAAAGGCTTAAAGTGCCACACACCTTTTGAACTGGCGCAAGTGGTTAATGTGCTTGGCTGTTGACCAAAAGGTTGGAGGTTTGAGTCCACCCAGAGGATCCTCAGAAGAAAGGCCTGTGGTCTAACTTCTGAAAAATCAGCCATTGAAAACGCTGTGAAAAAACTAAAACCATTCCAGAGGCCAACTCTTCAGACAAAGATTAGACTGGACTATGGAAAACAGAATGATACTCGTGAAGAGTGTGCTTCTTAGCTCAAGTAGATACATGAGACTAAATGGGCAGCTTCTGTCCAGAGGTGAGATGAGAAGGCAGAGAGGGTTAGGAGCTGGTTGAATGGACATGGGGAATCAGGGATGGAAAGGAGTGTGCTGTCACAGTATAGGGAGAGCAACTAGAGTTACATAACAATGTATGTATAAATTCTCGTATGAGAAACTAACTTGAATTGTAAACTTTCACTTAAAGCACAACAATAAAAAAAAGAAAACTCTGTGGCGCACAGTTGTACTCTGACACACGAGGGGTCGCCATGAGTCGGAATCAGCTTCAGACAGCCGGGAGGGGTTGGGTCCCCGGCCCTCCACACCCACCTTCTCGCTGCCCCTACTGGCCCCCTCCTGCTCTGACGTATTCTTCATCTTCATTTACTGTCTAGGAGTCTTTTTCTTTCCTGTGTTTTCTAAACTGCTTTCGCTTTACTTTCGTAATTGAAATTCATTTAATGAGCTGTCTCTTTTCTGTATGTTTGTCCAGTCTTAAAAATAAGCAAAAGGGAAAATTTCTGCACTTAGGTCTGCGTGGAGAGCGGCCCGCCGCCCCCTGGCGCCCGTGCGGGGAAGCGCAGAACACGGCCAAGGCGCGATGTTCGCGAGGCCTCACTGCCCGTGCGCAGAACAGCATCGCCTGCTGCCTTTGCTGCGCTGGGGGCGCTGCTGGCGGGGGAGGCAGGTGTAGGGACAGAAAGGTGTGGGGACAGACGGGGCGCCAACCGCGCCTGGCAGAGTGCGCGTGCTCAGACTCACTGTTAAGCTTTCGTGAGGATTACATGAAGTAAGGCATGTGAGGGTTTGCATACATCATCATACTTTGGACATGTTATCGAGAGGGATCCATCCGTGGAGAAGGATGTTATGCTTGGTAAAGTAGAGGGTCAGCAAAAAACAGGAACGCCCTGAACGACACGGATTGACACAGTGGCTGCAACAGTGGGCTCAAGCATAACAACGATCGTGAGGATGGTGCAGGATGGGGTAGTGTTTTGTTCTGTTGTACACGGGGTCGCTATGAAGCGGAACCAACTCGACAGCAGCTAACAACAACGTAACACACATCATCACAACAACAGTGCACTGAATACCTGGTGGCACAGTGGTTAAAGTGCTCGGCTGCTAACCAGAAGGTCGGCGGTTCGAACCCATCAGCTGCTCTGTGGGAGAAAGATGTGGCATTCTGATTCTGTAAAAGATTGCAGCCTTGGATAGCAATAATCCAAAAACCACAACACAATAAATGCCGGAGAGGTTGTGGAGAGACTGGAACACTTAAACACTGTTGGTGGGAATGTAAAATGGTACAACCACTTTGGAAATCGATTTGGCGCTTCCTTAAAAAGCTAGAAGTAGAAGTACCATATGATCCAGCTATCCCACTCCTTGGAATATATCCTAGAGAAATAAGAGCTGTCACATGAAAAGATATATGCACACCCATGTTCATTACAGCACTGTTCACAGTAGCAAAAAGATGGAAACAACCTAGGTGCCCGTTAACGGATGAATGGATAAACCAATTATGGTATATCCACACAATGGAATACTATGCAACGATAAAGAACAATGATGTAGCCACGTGTCTTGGTCATCTAGCGCTGCTACAACAGAAATACCACAAGTGGATGGTTTTAACGAAGAGAAGTTTATTTCCTCACAGTTAAAGTAGGCTGAAAGTCCAAATTCAAGGTATCAGCTCCAGGGGAAGGCTTTTTCTCTCTGTTGGCCTTCTTCTCTTCGGTGTTCCCCCGGACTAGGAGCTTCTCGGCCCAGGGACCCCAGTCCAAAGGACGCGCTCTTCTCCTGGCACTGCTTTCTTGATGGTATATGAGGTCCCCAACCCTCTGCTTGCTTCCCCAGGGAAGGCCACACCCCAGGGAAACTCCCTTTACATTGGATCAGGGATGTGACCTGGGTAAAGGTGGTGTTACAATCCCACCCTAATCCTCTTTAAACATAAAATTACAATCACAAAATGGAGGCCAACCACACAATTCTGGGAATCATGGCCCAGCCAAACTGATACACACATTTTTGGGGGGACATAATTCAAACCTTGACACCGTGAAACATACCATGGAAGAAGCTGGAGGTCATTATGCTGAGTGAATTTAGTCAGTCACAGAAGGACAAATATTGTATAAGACCACTATTATAAGAACTCAAGAAAAGGTTTAAACACAGAAGAAAACATTCTTTGATGGTTACAAGGGTGGAGAGGGAGGGGGACGGTTATTTACTAACTAGATAGTAAATAAGAATTATCTTAGGTGAAGGGAAGGACAGAACTCACTAGAGGGGAAGTCAGCACAACTGAACTAAACCAAAGCTAAGCAGTTTCCTGAATACAATCAAACTCTTTGAGGGACAGAGTAGCAGGGGTAGAGGTCTGGGGACCAAGCTTTCAGGGGACATCTAGGTCAACGGGCATAACAAAGCTTTTCAAGAAAATGTTGTGCATCCTACTTTGGTGAGTGGTGTCTGGGGTCTTAAAAGCTTGCAAACAGGCATTTAAGATGCCTCAGTTGGTCCCAACCACCTGGAGTAAAGGAGAATGAAGAACACCAAAGACACAAGGAAAGTAGTAGCCCAAGAGACAGAAAGGGCCAGATAAACCAGAGACTTCATCAGCCTGAGACCAGAAGAACTAGATGGTGCCCAGCTACCACCAATGACCGCCCTGACAGGGAACACAACAGAGGGTCCCGGATGGAGCAGGAGAAAGGAGGGGTGCAGAACTCAGAGAAAGGAGGGGTGCAGAACTCAAAGACCGGACTTAATGGTCTGACTGAGACTGGAGGAACCCTGGGAAGCAGGGCCCCTGGATCCTCTATCAGCCCAGAACTAAAATGATTTCCAAGGCCAACTCTTCAGACAGGGATTGGACTGGACTATGGGACATAAAGTGATACTCGTGAGGAGTGTGCCTCTTAGCTCAAGTAGATACAGGAGAACGGGCAGCTTCTGTCCAGAGGTAAGATGAGAAGACAGAGAGAGTTAGGAGCTGGTTGAATGGACATGGGAAATCAGGGGTGGAAAGGAGAAGCGTGCTGTTACAGTATGGGGAGAGCAATTAGAGTCACATAACAATGTATGTATAAATTTTTGTATGGGAAAAAATTAAAAAATAAAATTTAATAAAAAGATTGCAGCCTTGGAAACCCTATGGGACAGTTCTACTCTGTCCTATAGGGTCACTATGAGTCAGAATTGCCTAGCGGGTAATGGGTTAGGGTTTTAAATACTAGTTACCATATAATAAACAATATTATTAAACTCAGAAGGAGGGAAAAAAAGGGCTAAGGGGAGAATGTTGACTGCTACCCAACATTTTTAAAAAGAAACAATTTTCTACACTTCCTCCTCAGCTGCCGTGGAGTTGATTACAACTCTGGTGACCCGACATGTGTCAGAGCAGAACTGTGCTCCACAGAGTTTTCAAAGGCTGATTTTTCTGAAGAAGATTGCCAGGCTTTTCTTCTGAGGAGCCTCTGAGTGGGCTCAAATCTCCAACCTTTCTTAGAGGCTGAGCGCATTAACTGTTTGCGCCACCCAGGGACTCCTGGCTTCCTAGGCTTTTTGAATTACCACCACCCTGCTCTGGACTGAATTCAGAAGCTAACCTTCAATACATGTGTCTCAGTCCTTCATTCTGAGCCCTAGCAATGCAGGGGGCCCCCCACGGCTCAGATCACCTGACAGGGTTGCCCTGGATGGCGCAAAGCAGCCCCGGAAGACAAGCAGTCATCTTTTTGGAGTCTTTCACAACCTTTTCTGACAGGGACTGTGTGGCATATTTTCATTATGGCCTTTCCAGAAAAAAATAAAAGCACTAAAAGTCGTTCTATATGTATGTACATTTGTTTTCTGAATTAAATTCTTTAGCCCTTATTGACCTGGAAAATGACATGATTCAGAAAATCTATAACCAAAGGAGGCTTTACAAGCTGTGAAGAACTGAATGAGTGTAGCCATGGCTGCCTTCGTCTCTTTGGCTGGACAGTGATACAGTGAAAATTCATGTAGCCATGGCTGCCTTCGTCTCTTTGGCTGGACAGTGATACGGTGAAAATTCATGTAGCCGATACAGGTTTAATTTACACGTGATCTTGCTATTTGTTCTTCACAGGGCAAAAGCTACCCCGAGCCTGTGTGAATCAGAATTGCACGGAAAGCCCAGTAACATTGCAGGTAATTTTTAAATTCACTCTCTAATCTCTTTCAAAAGGGGGAAATGTGTTCGTCTCTTGGCATCATTTTATGAAGAGCTCCGTCTGCCCCCTGGAAACCTTGGCTTATTCTGTGGTGCGTGTGGGAGAGGGGATGTCATGTCTGCTGGCTGTGGGGGTGACTGTCCATGCCTGCGCCCTGCCCCACGGTCCCGGGGATGCCATGAGGTGTGCTGGGGTGGGTGGCAAGCCACGTCAGGTCCCGGGTTGTTCACGGCTCGCAGGGACGGCTCCTTCCCCTCTCCAAATCTCTACAGGAAGGAGCAATGGAGAGAACGGCATCCCGGTGTTCAGAGCGCACGCGGACGCCGACCGCTGGGCCCGGGCTCCGGCCAGGGCCCCATGCCTGTGCCTTGGTGGCAACGACCTCGTCCTTGACCCTGAGGGGGCTGCAGGGTAAGTGGGGCCAGGTGACGCTGTCCTGCTCCGGCCCTTGTTAAGACACAGCCGAGGGCCAAACTAAGGGTGGGGGGAGGCTTCAGAAGAAAGAAAAAGGGGACTGGCCAAGTCCCTGGTCTGTCCAGCCATGCTCGTCCTGTGAACACGACAACCAGCCTCACTCTCTACTGCAACATGTCCCACACGGAGGAGCTGGCACTGCACACTGTGGGGACCGCATCGGATGGGGAGGAGGACGCGGGCCTCAACTGGATCTTAGCTTTGCTCTGAAGCCCTGTCCACCTACACCCTCCCATTGGCCTGCCTCTCCTGGAGGCTACCTGTGCTTGGAAGGATCCCAGGCTTGGCTCAGGCTGAGTCAGAAAGAGTGCTGGGATGGACTCACAAGGCCTGTATGGGCACAGGGAGTCCTGGGGGGTGTCACAGGGGTGGATTACCAAGTCGGCAAGGTACACACAGCTTAAGTCGGTTTACTAATCTGTAGTGCGCAATCTCACCTGTTATTCACAGCAAAGCCATGGTGAAACCCAGGTGAAATTGTTCACTACGGATTAGTAAGTAAAGACAGTTAAGCCCGTGCATCCCTTGCTAACTGTAAACCTGTGCGTACTGTGCTTACTGGTTAATCTGCCCCTGGGAATCACTCGACTATTAGCCGACAGGGTGGCAGTTCAGACCCACCAGAGGTGCCTCGGAGGCCAGGCCTAGGGATCTGCTTATGAAAGTTCAGGCCTTGAAAACCCTATGGGGTTCTGCTCTGAAACCCAGGGGGTCACCATGAGTCAGAAGCAACTCGACAGCAATCAACAAGAAGCACTGGGCTCAGGGCCGGCCCTGGCTAGCCACTTTTCTGTCCTCTCTTCTTTTGTTTTTCCCTACTTCCTATAGAAATATGCCTGACTCTGGTAGCATATCGTTATAACAGTTGTAAGAAACAGCAAGGGAAGTAAGGATACTGGATAAGTGAATAAGTGCTGTGCGTCCTTTCCCTCAGACGCTCACCGTTGCGATGTTGGTGCAGGTCTGCCCTGTGCTGTTTGGCTTCATGGGCTGAACCTGGCTAGTGCTGGGCCTCGCCTGCGGTCCAGAGCATTGAATTTCTGATTCCCGCCACCATCTGTCTGCCTCAACATGGAACAGGCCAAAAAAACAGGAGGAAATCTTTTAAACAATTGTGAGAAATATGCAGTCACCCCTCAGCAGAAAGGTGACATTGAGGCGGCCTTAGGACTGTTTCTCAGAGTGGGATCTCTTGGGCACTGGCCACTGGAGCTTGCTGGTCGTCACATGACCGCTCCTCGTGGGCAAGGCTGGGCCGGCGTCTCCTCGGACCCACAGCACAGCGCTGAGCACCAGTGTGTCCCCACTAAACATATGTTGCTGTTGAAGAATGCTGGAGTCCCTGGGTGGCGCCAATGGTCAATGTGCTCACCTGCTAACCGAAAGGTTGGAGGTTTGAGTCCACCCAGAGGTGCCTCAGAAGAAGGGTCTGGCAATCTGTTTTTGAAAGATCACAACCATTAAAAACCCTATGGAGCACAATTCTGCTCTGATGCCCATGGGGTTGCCAGGATGAATGCCAGGCGACTCTTGGTGGGTGGGAGAGCTTGGTGCCATGGCAGAGGGCTGGCTTTGGAGGAGGTGGGGGATGGGCCACTGGGGGAGAGTTCCTACACAGGACCGGGATGCAGTACCAGCCTCCTGGGGCTGTAATGTGGGATAAATGGGGTAGTGTAGGGTGGGGCCTAGTTTAGGGCCCTCCCTCAGATGGTCCGCTGCCCCGTTCCTCTGTCTAATGGGCTGTCTTCCCTGCAGGGACAGGGAAGAAGAGGCACATGGGAGGATGCTGAGCAGCTCCTCGGGAGCAAGGGGGCAAAGGGAAGTACACCTGTACAATTGCCGCTTGGAAGCAGCCGGGAAGATGAGGCATCTTGGCTGGACGACAGAGAGGCACAGCCAGGGCAGGAGCGCCAAGCTGCAGCCACAGCCCTGTGGGAATGGCCCGTTCTCCATGTGCGCCGAGCCCCGAGGCACCTGCGTCCCCTACGCGGGCGTCCAGGGCACTTTCGATGCTAGTGGGAGCGCTGCTTTCAGAAATGCACCCAGCGCCCACCCGCTGGACCACCCCCCCAGTGCCCACTGTGGCCGGACCAGCAGACCTTGGCGGGATTGCGACCAGGCCCTGGTGTCCCCACTCACCAGCTGCCACCTCCCCCACTCCGGGGCACAGCGATTCCCCACGGGGGGCTATTCTGCCGAGGATGCCAAGTTGCGAAGTGCACCAGTGCCCCCGAGAGCCTTGGGCAACCCAATGATGTCGCTGGATGTACCCATCAAAGTAGAAAATGATTCTGGTTCTGAGGACACAGCCGAAGGCTACCCCAAGCCCCGGAGCCAGGTGTGGCTGGGAGCCAGTGACCTGGCCAAGAGACAGCCGGTCAGCTTCCCTAACAGGATGCACCTGAAGACAGAGCCGGACCTCCCGGCGCACCTGCCCCGATGCGCGGACTCCAGGCACTTCACCTACACCCCGCACCTCGGGCCCAGCGTGCTGGGGCCTCACGCCAACTGCAGGGCCACGGCCAGACCAAGCCCCTCCTACCCAGCCGGCTGCGCCTGCCTGGAGCGCATGTGCGGCCTTCCCGGGCCGGAGCCTGCCCACTGCCCGCAGCAGGAGCCCGGTGCGCGCTGTCCGTGCCCGCTGCGGCGCGACGGCAGGGCGCCCGGGGCCGCGCCCGTCGTCAAGAGCGAACCCCTGGACTCACTGCCGTGGGCCAAACACAGCCAGGGTGGGGTGCCGGGGATGCTCCCCAAAAGTGCCCTGGCAGCGCTGATGCCGCCCAAAGCCCCGGAGTGCATGTTCCTGCCGTAGCTCCGCGGCCGTTCTAGGCTCGCGTCCGTCCTCGCTCTGATTCACCTGGGCCGGCGCCTTGCCGCCCTGTAAGTGACGTTCTCTGCAAGGTTGCACAATTTCAGTCCTTACGTGTGTGTAGCATATGCCATAGTATGTTCTGTAGTCCTTAAATGCAAAGTGTCTCCAAGCTTTTGAAATGCCCCTGCACTTTTCTTGGAAGAATTAACAGAGATGAAGCGCCCACAGCGTCCCTGTCGGCTCAGCGGGGCGCGACGCCAGTCTCCAGGGGCTTCCAGCGCCGTCTGCTGGGAGGGCAAGGCGACGAGAGGGAAAGGCTTTCACATCGTTTCCAACGTCTCCCTTGCAAGCCCGCAGCCAGTCTGCCCTTTGAAGGCGGGACTGACTGGCTGTAGAGTGGACTTCAGAGAGCCCCCAGACACACTGCTATCCCACTGACCAGACAGGTAACTAAAACCATAACTCAGTGTGCCGAAGGTGACTGTGAGCCCGTTCATGGAAGAATCTAGAAAGTTCCAAGTGCCATGAAGCTGGGCAGAAGCAGCTGTGGGCGTATGGTCCTTGCAGGCTGTGGTCGGGGCTGCTGGGCAGAGTTGGAAGTGCATGGAATGGAAAATGACAGGCTGACATCCTGTTCCTTCCGGAAACTTCTGTGAAGATGGTTGGTGAGGCTCTCTCTCTCCGGACATCATGTAATACAGTGCTTACAGAGATTAGGTTTGGAAGTAGAGAGAAATACAAAATGAATGGAAAAGAAACTGGAAATCAAGTTGTCTGTGGCAGCTGTCTGTCTGCTCACTCTTTCTCTGAGATCTTCTCAAATAAGGACCCAGTTGCCTTCCCAGGAAGAACTGTTAGTGATGAGTAAGACAGGTGCTACATTTTAAATGAATTTTTTTATTGTTAAGGCAATACATTCTGATTGTAGGAAATTTGAAATAAAAGCATGAATCAGAAAATGAGGGTCAGCCATAATCCACACCCTGGAGAGAACAGGAAGTTCCGGCTTCTCCCAGGACCAGAGTTGCTCACAGAGTCCCACCCCAGTTAGTGCAGGACAGTCCAGGGTGTGCACACTTGGGTATAAAAATGATGGAGCGGTGGTCTGGGGTCTTGGACTCCCGTGGCTGGCCCACCTGTGCAGAGTGGACAGACCCTCCTCCAGAGACAGGGGAATCTGTGCTCTAGAGCCAGCTCCATGCTGGGGTCTTGGGAGGTGGCTGGAGAGCCCTGGGAGGGACCCGCTGCTCCACCATCACTGGGCTCAGCCCGTGCTGCCCCCCTCACTTCATTTCAACAGGAGCAACGCCTGCTCTGGGAATCACTCAGCATGTATCCTGCCCCTGGTTCTGGGCAAGGTCTGAGCATCTGTTCCTGCAGCAGCAGGTTCTGAGGGGCCAACTTGCTGGCGTGGGCTGGGCGGCAGGTTCTGAGGGGCCCACCTGCTGGCGTAGCCTGGGCGGCCTTGAGTGTTCTTTAAGAGGGATAACGGCCCTCCACTATCATCTCAGGCTGATGAGGGTCAGGAGGTTCAACAGCCCATCGGTACTGCACCTGACTAACATGTCTCAAGCGCCCTGGAATTTCATGGATGTTTGGTACAGTAGAGGGTTGGAGAAAATGAGAACCCCTCAATGAGATGGATTGACTCAGTAGCCACAGCAGTGGTCTCAAGCATACCAACGATCATGAAGATGGCGCAGGACCGGGCAGCGTTTCATTCTGTTGTATGTGGGGTCATCATGAGTTGGAGCCAACTCAACAGCAGCTAACAACAACGAGGAAAAACACATGACGAGAAAGATGGACTTCAAACGTGTCTTGGACGTTTACGACCTGTGGCCCATGCCTGAGTCAACAGAAGACGAGCTGCAATCTTGAGCCTCGTGTGAGGCCATCTGAGGAGGAGGCTTTCTGAAGGACAGGAGGGGTTCCTCCCCCCAGGCCCCTGCACCCATGCACCTGCATCCTCCCAGATGTGCAGATGCCTGTCCATGCTCACACTCATGGGACAGCGATCACTCCACCAGCCACAGCTGGCTGACTGGCAAGTTGTGTTCTGTTGACACTGAGTCGGTGTTGCGGTTTTATACTTTGGGGCCACCCAATATTTTTCAGCTTCCTTGTGCGCCGAGGCTCCAGCGGGGCGTCTGTGGTCCTCACGTGCTCCCTGTCCCTTCCCCTGCCCGGTCGGTGCCTCTGTTATGCTGTTATGTCAGCAGTTCCTGAGTCAGCACTTTGGTCATTTCATAGTCGTGTCTCTCCTAAAAAATTGTGTGGGAAAGACAGTAATGGAATGTAGAAGGTGAGGATATAGTGATTCCTGCTTTAAAATGACACCATGAGTATTAATTACAGGGTTTTTTCTGCCTGTTGTATGTTACTTTTCACTATATAGCTGAAAAATTATTAGAATCAAATATAATGGGGGAATGGGGTGAGAGGGAGGAGATAAACGTATATTTTTGCAGTTTCTACTGGAAAAAAGTTTTGAATATTTAGAGTAACTTGTTGAATTTTTAAAACTGGTGCACTATAATGTCACTTTTTGTACCATTTTCTCTGTGCCTTCAGAAAGAGTTTTCAAATATATTTCTGATACTGTGGTTCATATTAAATTGTTGATATCACTATAAAATGTTTAATACATGTTTACCACAAGTGGAAATGTCTGCATGATTTTCCGAAGGAAGTAACTTTATTTCCTTTAGTGTGCGTGGTTAATTTACATCCTAGCGTGGTTCTTTAATACTAGGTAGAAGGCAGTAACACAAATGAAAACAAATACGCGGGAGCCGAGAATCCCACCGAGGAAGAAGGACAGCCACACCAGCAGTACTGTCTCCTCAGGAAGGGCGGCTCAGAGGCCTTCTCGCCCCCACCACCCCCAGCTCCTCCTCAGCCCCGTCACTGAAGGTCAGAGTGAACTGTCCTGGGTGCCTTGTCCTGCAAGGGTGCAGAGAAGGCAGAACTGAGGACACCGTGGGGTCCTTGGAGCCCCATCTTGGGGGGGCATTTGGAGTCAGCCTCGCCTGGTTTCTGAGCACCTGGGCAAGCGGTCTTCATGGTGAAGAGGGCAGTGGGCCTTGGACATCAAGCCCCGGGCACAGCCACAACTTCAGGTCCCTCGTGCGGAGACCCCTTCCAAGGCCCAAAGAGGACCCCAAATCAAGTTCCAGGACCCCATACAGAACCTAGATGTGCCCTTGCCAGTGGCAAGTTAAGCCCTACTGGGTCGTCCTCATCCACACTACATGCCACAGTTAGCAGACCTGTCTTCAGTCATGACCTGGCATGCTCTGAGCCTTCTGAGACCTGCCCAGGTGAGACCTGCCCAGGCGAGATCTGCCCAGGGGAGACCTGCCCAGATGAGACCAGGCTGTGGGGGCCAAGTTGCTTCTCCACCTCCTGCACCCTGCTGGGTCCTACAAGGTGCTCACTGCCCTGGGCCTACTCCAGCTTACACTGCAACTTTGCCCAGGCCCCTCGCGCTCTCCTCCCCCTCCTTCCTACCCCCCCTCCACCTACCCTCGCCCTCCCTCACAGTCCTCCCCTTACACCTTCCATGTAACCTTCTCCTTCTTATACCTCCCTCCTCTCCCTCCCCATCAAGAACCACACAGTGGGGGCCTGTGCTGTGCAGACAGGATTAGAATCAGGACCCTGTGGGGAGGAAATGAGAACCCAGGAACACAGGACACTCACAAAGGAAACGCATGGGGCAGGGGCTTCCAACATCATCTGCCTGGCTGGCCAGGCTGCAAGTGGAAGGAGCAGCCCCTACCCTGGGCCGAGACAGCCTTCCTGCCCATGCACCCCCAGTATGAGCCTGGACCCTACACTGAAAAACCAGCAGGCCTGGCTTCTCATCCCTCAGACAAGATTGGAGCGTTGTGTGCTTATTTCCCGCAAGGGTTGGGTCCCTGCCCACCAGAGGGCAGCCTTCCGGGCTTCCTGCCTGTTCTGGCTTGGGCCAGCTGGCCTCACTCCTGTCATTCCCCTTGCTTGGCCTCCAGCTAAGGGCCATCACTTTTTCTTTATTATTTTCAACATGAAAGTACAGCGAATAGTAAACATACAGCCAATACCCAGATTTAACAAAAAGCTAACGTTTTGGATATACATTTGTCAAGGATTTAAACATTACAGGAGCACTCGAAGCCACTTGTCTCCCACCCTCCCTCCATCCTCCCTTCTTTCCCTCCTCAGAGGGAAGTGGTCCTGACGCTGAACTGCGCTATTCCCTCCTGCTGTTATACTTTTACCGCATCTCCATCTGTCCCTAGCAATGCACACTGCTCTCTAGTTCATATAAATGGAATCATGCTTGTTTTCTTTTTTTCTTATTATTGTGCTTTAGGTGCAAGTTTACAGCTCAAGTTAGTTTCTCATACAAAAAATTATACACATATTGTTACGTGACCCTAGTTGCTATCCCTATAATGTGACTGCACATTCCTCCTTTCCACCCCGGATTTCCGTGTCCATTCAACCAGCTCTTATCCCTTTCTGCCTTCTCATCTCGCATCCGGACAGGAGCTGCCCATTTAGTCTTGTGTATCTACTTGAACTAAGAAGCACACTCTTCATGAGTATCATTTTATGTCTTATAGTCCAGTCTATTCTTTGCCTGAAGAGTTGGCTTCGGGAATGGTTTCAGTTCTGGATTAACAGAGAGTCTGGGGGCCATGTCTTCTGGAATCTCTCCAGTCTCAGTCAGACCATTAAGTCTAGTCTTTTTACTAGAATTTGAGTTCTCCACCCCCCTTTTTTCCTACACCATCAGGGACTCTCTGCTGTGTTCCCTGTCAGGGTGGTCATTGGTGGTAGCCAGGCAGCATCCGGTTCTTCTGGTCTCAGGCTCATTGAATCTCTGGTTTATGAGGTGCTTTTTGTCTCTTGGGCTAATATTTTCCTTTTGTCTTTGGTTTTCTTTGTTCTTCTTTGCCCCAGGTGGGTTTGGACCAATTGATGCATCTTAGATGGCCACTCACTAGCTT